AGAAATCTTTCTGCATGGCTGTAGTCAGAGGTCCCTTAGGCCTGGCTCCTACCAGCAGTGACGTGTCTTGTGCTGAGGAGCTAGGCAGGAGTGAGCTCTACAAACCTGTCAGCAGAACCAACACCTGGCCAATGTGAGTTTTCAAGGGTCACCTGGTTCTTTTAATGCCTCATGATAACTCCTGTTTCTAGTCACCTCCTCCCCACAGTGAACTGGTGTTTGCAAAAAAAAAAAAAAAAAAAAGGCCCCTTTGCTGGTTGGTAACCTGATCTTGAACAGCAAGATGAGTCCCATTAAAAGTCAAATTGACTTCATAGTTATTCAAATCTGCTAGCACCCTGGCAGTCTGGCTTCACTGCAAAGAAGAAAGTTACAATTATAGTAATGACTAGTTCCCTTTCCTTTTACTCATTTCCTTATGCAACCTAACAGATGCTCAGAGCCTTGATGGCTTTCCTGTGCCTTCTAGTGGCTTAATTCTGTTCCTGATATTTCTACCTGACTCGTCACAGACCTTCCCTTATTGGAAAAATGACCCACTTAAGATAGCCAAATTGGAATAACTGATTCCCCGTGTTTAAGACATAGACCACATAGGCCAATCTGATACTCTGTAACCTTTTTTAACACGATGATTCAGATGTACCCCCAAATCCCTCCTGCTTAAAAACCAAAAGGGAATCTAAACCTCTTTAAATAATATGTTCAGGCTCTGACATCTTTATCAGAAAGTTGTGTTTTCCCCCCTCTGATGACTTGACTCAGTATCTAGAAATAAAAATTTTCAAGAGGGTGTTATAATCACATTTGCAGAGATGATCCATTGCTCAAAGGGCCAAGGAGAGCACTTGAATCACAAGACCCATGACATCTGTGAGATATTTCTTATCTCATCCTGTTCCCTCTTCCAGCTGCCTGGTAAGGTGCCTGCGATTACCTGAGACAGACAGGAAGTCATCCACCGAGGTGATGTCATCCACAGCCTCAGTTAGCACTCGCACCTGCTTCTCCCACTGGTCTTTGAAGACGTCCATGTTATCCTGAGCAACTTTGCTCTGTGGCCGGGCAGCCAGTGTGAGAGCAGCATTGATGACCTATTTGTTAGAAACAATCCAGGGACATGATGACCACATTCCTCCAAGAGGGGAGCAAGCAGGTGAAAGACCATATTGAAACATTGTGCTCTGCACATTCTACAGATACATGGGTTGTCACTGTTCAGGACAATGCCAAACACAAAAGATACAGTAGGTTATCAACTACCATTCGTTTTTGTTTTGCTTCTTCTTTTTAAGATACAGTAATTAGCCTCAGGTTTCAAGAGGAATTTACTGGACAAGTTCCTATTTATTTAATGCAGATAAGTAGGAAATATAACTCTTCCTTTCTGCCTGTGCAAGCTTATAATTTACTTGTTGAGACAAGGTAAATAGACAGTGAGCATTTAAATAATGAGCCAAAACAAACAGAATCAGTCAATATGAGTAGAAAAGACAATAATTGCCACAATAATACATGGAATAGTTAGAAGTTCTTTTTAAGAAAGGCAGAACTTTAAAGAGCCCATGATTGGTGGGTAACATAATCCAATTAGAAGAAATTTAGACAAGGACAGAAGGGATACGAGGGTTTGAGTGTAGGGAGTCCTGAGTATCAGGTCATTGACTGACTTATAAGATAAAATATTGGAGGCTTACCTGAGGACACAGGCTATCAATCTGTGTGGCTGCCATTCGGACTAATTTCACCCCTTCCTCGTTGTTGGAGATGGAACAGGCCAAATTGGCAACCTGCATTGAAGAGGACTCAAGTGAAAAATCACATTGGGCCAACAGAAAGCATACTGTTGTATAACCTTTCACCTTCTCTGGGAAAAGGTCATTCTTGGGAGAATCCTATAACCAATATGATAAAGGAACCCTTCTGTGTTTATCCAAATATTATTTCCTCATATGCTAGTTTAGGCATTTCTGCCCCCAAAACCCAGACACTTAAAAACAAATTTTTCCTTCAAGATTTTCAAGCACAACACAATGATATATTTTAAATGAGTTTGTTTGAACTGTTTTTTTTTTTTTTTTTTCCTATGGACTGCCCTGATCTGCCTACACTTTCTTGGACCTCCTAAGATTCACCATGAAATACAGAATCCTATGATCCAGGCCACATCAGTACTTAACTCTGACCAGTAAGAGAAATGCTACAGGCAATAGTTTGGATTTTGAGACTCATTGTAAGCTGAAAAATTCAAGTGGTCTGCCCACAGGAACCCAGACCTGCCTGAAGATGCTAGGCTATCAGCGACCTCTCAAATGCCTTCAGGAATAGACGAGAGAGATGTATAGAAAAGGCTGGTGTGACTCAGTAGGCAATGGTGGAATACAAGGCATATTAGAACGTGCAAGTCTACAATCAAGGCATTAAAATTTTGATTTTTCCAAAATGCTACACAAGCCAAAACAGCAGAATTAAATTCAAAGTTCTCAGGCTAGGCAGTTCAATTTAAGTTATTCCTTCTTATCAAGGGTCAAGCATTGTTATTACAAGGTCAGATTGATAGGTCAAGGTCAACAGCAGGCAAAACTGCCATCAGAGCACTGATCAGTTCCATCAGGATGGTGTCAAGAGGACAGGAGATTGAGGGTTAGAAAGGTCAAAGGAGAGGAGAAGGTCATCGAGGGCTATGGTCAGTAGGACAAATAAAACAAGTGATTAGAAGAGACAGAATCCTCTGGAGCCTCTGAGCCATCTGTCCTTGGTATCCTACTCACCTCTATCCTCCAGAACCAGGCGGCTGAGAGCTGCCTTGATGCCCTTAGAGATGAAAATGTGCTACACATGTGCATAATTCCTAATGTGAAATAAACCACAAGTGCCCAGTGCAGACAAGTGGGGGATCTCAGAACTAGCAATCCAGGTTCTACCACTAAGCAGCTGTGTGATTACTTTGTATTCAGTTTGCTCATCAGTAGCATGAAGTGTGGACAGTGATACCAGAAATACTTTCAAAGGTTACTTCAATAAGTCACTAGTGTAAGAATCCCTTTCTGAAGGTTTTAAGAAAGATGAAGGATACATTATGTCTATTACCGTGAAAATAGGTAGTAGGAGAAATCACAGTTTAAATGAGTTACAACATCATCATGTCATTTCTTACAATATGTGGTGTACCTTTGATCTTCAGATAATTTTCACTATTATACTTAGTTTTCAAAACAAATACTAGAAAAGACAAATATGCCTTGTCGTACTCATTCACAGGAAAGGATACTAAATGCCCACAGGCATAAAACTTTCTAAAAGCCCAGCAGGGACAATAACACATAGCTCTTTAACTTCCATTTTCTTTTGCTACCTCAGATTTTCTCCATTCTGCATTTTGATTAACCTTTGTTATACTTGTATTCTATATTTACATAATTTTACATTCCAAGTGCCCGATTCAGTATATGACAATGAATAAGTAGTCTATAAATGTTCATTAAATGAATGAAAGAATAACTTATTGAGTAGAACTTCATGTGGTGATTTGGCATGCACCATAGATGCTCAAAAATAAAGTGGAGCTAAACCTTAATCTGACTAGAAAAATTTTCAATTTATCTTCTAGCAAATGTTTACCAATGCTATAGTGTTCAACCATGGTTTCTACATTCTGGTCCTTAGTGAGTCTAGAATGCAATATCCCCCTGTCTATGGTAGCAGGATAAAAAAATAAAATCAGAATAATGTAGACAAATTTTCATAAAGTTATATCTTTCTAATGTAAAGTTCTGTCTTTTAATCTTCAATTAAATTCTTCCTACGTCTGCTCTTGAACAACCTTTTTCATTACGTGAAATGATGATTTTAGATGAAGGCTTTGTTTGCCCTTTACCATAGTTGCTTGGTGTGAGAGAGACTTGAGATCACACTTTTGAAAGTAGAAGACAATTTAAAAAGAATGTGGCACAACAACATGAAAACATAAAATGTCCCAGGAACCAGATCATGGGTTAATATTTTCTTGCATCCCTGTAAGAAAAGCAAGAACAAACTAACACTGTCAAGGAAATAATGGCTCTGGAGGTAGCAGTCCAGAACATAGCTTCACATCCATGCTGGCTCTGGGTCACTTGGTGGAGGTCAACCCAGGGGACCTAGGGCTGAGAAGAGCTGGAATCTTATACATGAGAAAGTCAACCAGTAACATCCACATGGCGACAATAAATTTTTCTTTGTGTGTCTTCTGAAATGTTTAAACAAACCGTTTTCTGGCTCAGGTCTAACATGGGAACCTCATTACCCATAGAATCTTAGTAGGGAGGACAGAGGTAGCAGGCTGTGGCAAAAGTAAGGAGCTGGCAACTCTGAGTAATCCTCCAATTAATTATTCTATTTAATTTTCCTGCTCCACAAATCCTACAGTCTGGCAACCTTCACTGTGCAATGTATTCCTACTGTTTAATTCCACTTAAAATCAGAATTTTATTTATGTTGCATTGTGTTCTGAAACATTCTGAAAATATTTTCAATGTGATGTTAAAGATTTCAGTATCTCCGAAGGCAGTCTTGCTTATTTTAAATTGGTCATGGACTCGATCCAGATCCCTACCTTCCTGATTTTCTTTTGGCTTGCTTTTCTGTCCTCACTGAAACTACTGGCATCTTGGTAACTCTGAACATGGGTCTAGGTATTTTGATTCCCACAGTTTTGTCAATTATCTTTTTTTTTCTTTTTTGGTACCAGGGATTGAACTCAGGGACACTCAATTACTGAGCCACATCCCCAGCCCTATTTTGTATATTTTTATTTAGAGACAGGGTCTCATTGAGTTGCTTAGCACTTCAGTTTTGCTGAGGCTGGCTTTGAACTTGCAATTCTCCTGTCTCAGCCTCCTGAGAGGTTGGGATTACAGGCATGCACCACTTTGCCCAGTTTCAATGATCCATTGTTTAATTACAGCTCTAATATTATTCTAATATTATGATATCAGAAACTCTTTGGTAAAGTACCCTATTTTTCAATTTTTTTTTTAAAAGAGAGAGGGAGGGGAGGGAGGGAGAGAGAGAGAGAGAGAGAGAGAGAGAGAGAGAGAGAGAGAGAGAGAGACACTTTTTTAATATTTATTTTTTAGTTATCGGCGGACACAACATCTTTGTTTGTATGTGGTGCTGAGGATCGAACCTGGGCAGCACGCATGCCAGGCGAACGCGCTACCGCTTGAGCCACATCCCCAGCCCCAAGTATCCTATTTTTCAAAGCAGTTTTTTCTTTTCTTTCTTCTTTTTTGGCGGGGATGATGGGTACCAGTGATTGAACTCAGGGGCACTCAACCACAGATCCACATCCCCAGCCCTATTTTTTATTTTTTTTATTTAGAGACAGGGTGTCACTGAGTTGCTCAGCACATCATCATTGCTGAAGCTGGATTTGAACTCAGGATCCTTCTGTCTCAGCCTCCTGTGAGGCTGGGATTACAGGCGTGCACCACCATGGTGCCAGGCCAAAGCACAGTATTTTCTACTCTAATACCCATTCAACATGGTGAAGGAGGTGGTGGGGGGAGGGAAGGGAGGAAATTGTGGGTTAGAATCATAAACATTTAAAACGATCAATAGGAATAAAAAAGAAGACCATAGGCCACTAATAGGTTATGATCCAAGACACTGAGCAATGTGATTGAATCTGTTAGAATTTTGGAACTGGCTCAAGTCAACCAACATTTATGGGACATGCACGTCCAGCTGGCTCTGGCCTTTACTTTCTCCAGTCTTGAATTATTTGCAACTTCACTGAGACAACAAGAGTTATTGGCCTTCCTGGAAGCTTAGGAAACAATAAAGTCTATCATCAGGTATTAAATTTTGGTCTATTTAAATTGATTTGGGGTTTCTGAAAGTTGAATAGGCCATGAGTATAGGTGGCCTATTGTATTAACCACCCCCTGCCCTCAGCAATCTAACTATAAAAGGAAGCTCTTTTCCATAACTTTCGAGAGCATAATGGATTTGGGGAAGTAAAAGGCAAAAGGACTAGGCCAGTCTTCCATCTCTGACATAGTGCCTTAAGAACAAATTATCTTGGGGAAAAGGAGAGAGCTTAAACGCCATCACTAAATTGTGTGCTGCCTACACCAAGAACTTTAAGAGTTTAAAAAAAGAAGAGATCAGTGCCCCTGGGTGGGAATCATTACTCATATCACAGACAGGTAAGATGTCCATCTCGTAATATTTCTTTTCTGATTGCCTGAGTAACAACTTTCGGGCTGCTCAATGATTATGTTTTTTTTTTTCCTCCTCTTCTGGGGCACAGTGTGTAAGAAAGCGAAGAGTGAGGCAAATAATAATATTAGCAGAATTAGTCAGAAAATAAATCAGCAAGGACAGCTGATGCTGATTCTTGTAAGAAAACAGCTTGCTTCATGAACTGAATTTGTATTGCAATTGGCATCCACTCCCTACCCCTTTAATGAGCACCTTAGTTGACCAAAATCAGAGTGGCAATATTCTTGGGAGACTGATGAGACAGTGAAGTTGACAAAAATCAAAATAAAAAATGTGAAGCTTTCATAAAATATACACTGTGACCATATAAAATGCAAGATTTCTTTTTTTAATCTTTTTTTTTTTGTGTGTGTGTGCTGGGGAATGAACCTAGGACCTCATGCTAAGCAAACTGAGTTATAATCCCAGCCCACACAAGATGCTTTTTATTCACGAAAACACCCCGCACAGCTCACAGTTCCAGATGAAGTATGTATTATGTCTGTGCCACTCAGTTGTGTGTGGACACTGCCACGGAAATCAA